GGGACATTGCCAGAAAGAGGGGAGGATGAAAATGAGAACTGTTGGGATGGAAATGAATCACTGAGGCAGAATCGGGAAGACCAGAGGAGAGACAGATCTCACAGATATCCGAGCAGCGTTGCCTCTGAAGACGAAATGGGGAAAACAACAAGGAGGAGCATCAATGCTCTTCAAAGTTCAGAGTATCAACAAAACATCTCTCTGAGGAAACGTCCAGTGAAATGTCCAACATGTCACGCCGAGATAAATCTGTGTCACTGTTTGGAGGATGGAGAAAATTTCAGATGGAGCCCAGAAGATACAAGATTTCACACAGGGGAAAAACACAAATTCTTTAGTTCTGACCTTGAAGCACCTCAACCAATGCATTCTGAAGAGAAAGTCTGTAAGTGCACAGAGTGTGGCATGAGCTTCAAGAGAAGTCCAGAACTTAAAAGACATCAAAGAATACACACAGGACAGAAAGCATACAAATGTCCTGAATGTGGACAGGCCTTCAGACGCAATTCACATCTTCAAGTACATCAGCGAATTCATACAGGAGAGAAACCCTATATATGCAAAGAATGTGGGAAATGTTTCAGTCATTCCTCAGGTGTTAAAGTACATCAGCGCCGTCATGCAGGGGAGAAGCCATATTCTTGTAAAAAATGTGGGAAATGTTTCTGCCGGAGCAGTGATCTTCAAGTACACCAGAGAATTCATACAGGAGAGAAACCCTATATATGCAAAGAATGTGGAAAATGTTTCAGCCATTCCTCAAATTTTAAAGTACATCAACGCCGTCATGCAGGGGAGAAACCATATTCTTGTACAGAATGTGGAAAATGTTTCTTCAAAAGCAGTGATCTTCAAGTACACCAGCGAATTCATACGGGAGAGAAACCCTATAAGTGTAAAGAATGTGGAAAATGTTTCGGTCGTTCCTCAACTTTTAGAGTACATGAGCGCACCCATTCAGGGGAGAAGCCATATTCTTGTGCAGAATGTCGGAAATGTTTCTTCCAGAGCAGTGATCTTCAAGTACACCAGAGAATTCATACAGGAGAGAAACCCTATATATGCAAAGAATGTGGAAAATGTTTCAGCCATTCCTCAAATTTTAAAGTACATCAACGCCGTCATGCAGGGGAGAAACCATATTCTTGTACAGAATGTGGAAAATGTTTCTTCAAAAGCAGTGATCTTCAAGTACACCAGCGAATTCATACGGGAGAGAAACCCTATAAGTGTAAAGAATGTGGAAAATATTTCAGTCACCCCTCAACTTTTAGAGTACATCAGCGCTCCCATTCAGGGGAGAAGCCATATTCTTGTAAAGAATGTGGGAAATTTTTCTGTCGGACCAGTGTTCTTAAAGTACACCAGCAAATTCATACGGGAGAAAAACCCCATCAGTGCAATGAATGTGGTAAAAAGTTCACCTGGAAGTCAAATCTTGTAGTACATCAACAAATTCATTCAGGAGAAAAACGCTATGTGTGCAATTAATGTGGAAAATGCTGGAGTCATTCCGCTGCTTTTAAAGTACATTAGCATTCAGGGGGGAAACCATATTTTTGTAACAAATGTGGGAAATATTTCTGCCAGAGGACTGATCTTTAAGTACACCAGCAAATTCATACGGGAGAGAAACCCCATCAGTGCAATGAATGTGGGGAAATGTTCAGCCTTGTAGTACATCCACAAATTCATATGGGAGAGAAAACCTTATCAGTATGAAGAATGTGGGAAAAGCTTCACAGTTGGGTCCTTATCTCCTTAAACCCCATCAGCCTGTCTGTTTTGGGAAGAGACTGAAGAGAGAGGTTCATGCCACAGTGAGAGCCTAGTTTTCGAATTATGCCTTTGTGAATCTGTGAATGCATGTAAGACAACAGACTTTATGGTGCCCTCAAATGTGGGAATCCCCTCCACAGAAATCTTTTTCTCAAAAGATACACAAAAGCCACATTCCTGATGGCATTTTACAACAATAAGGAGATAGTGAACAGGGTGGTGCTGTGAGTGGACTCTTTCATGTGTTTTAAGATAATTGTCAAAGGAGGATGTGATGCGTGTAACTCCCTGCCTTCTGTTCTGTGATTTTTTAAAAATATTTCACAACTAAGGTTTTGCTGAGATAGTTTTAACATGAGTCTAAATTTATCATTTTCCAAGAATTGCCTTGAAATTGAAATAAATATTTAAACTGGAATAAGGCCTCTTTGGATGAGCCATGATTATGCAGAAGGGATGCTGACAGGATGAGTGTGGATAATATTGAGCTTATTTGCACGAAAGATCATGAAAAAGTTTGTGTACGTTATGGGGACCCTAAAAGGATGTTCAAGTGTATGAGATATTTAAGGAGTGGTGTCAACACTACCAAAACACACTGTTGAACAATAGGGAAAAACCTACAAGCTGGATTAATAATGACACTGAAAGAAGGACCTCGGAGCACTATGAAACTTTATAACACCCCTTGGTTGTTTGCCCTTTTCCCTAGGAATCTGAGGCTGAAGGCTAGGTATGTCTGCATGGATATTTTGCTGAGGAGTTTCTGTGTGTGTGTTTGTGTGTGTGTGTGTGTTTGTGTGTGTGTGTTTGCTGGGCTTTCTTTTGGTCTTCCCCACTGCATGGTCTAGGGCAGTGGTCCCCAACCTTAGGCCTCCAGATGTTCTTGGACTTCAGCTCCCAGAAATCCTGGCCAGCAGAGGTGGTGCTGAAGGCTTCTGGGATTTGTAGTCCAAGAACATCTGGAGGCCCAAGGTTGGGGACCACTGGTCTAGGGAGTGGGGCTTTCTACTTTAAATGAGGGTGTCCCAGGACTGCGCGCCGTTAAAACTTTGATTTCAAACCTCCACTGCCTTGTGGCTATATCCACTCATGGAAAAGACTTCAGGAGTTAACCTAGAGGCAAAATCTGGATCTGGAGTCCCAAAGGCAGTTTGTGTCATTCTGCCAACTCCTGTGACGTTGCTGGAACAAGTTGCATTGGCTCTTGCCTTTCCAATGGACCATTTCAGCAATGTGGAGAGGGGGGATCTGCTGCTTGGGTAACAGCCTATCCTCCATATTACTTTACCCAGGCTCCATGCTCTGGAGAGAACACTCCTCAATGAGAGCATGTTACCATGGTCTCTCGAGACTGAAGGATGCCTATGCGTATGGTTGTTTGAGTCTGTGGTAGTCCGTCACAGCTGACATTTATTCCTGCAGGGGTTGATTTTAGTGTGAAACCAGATACCAGTCTCTCTCTCTCTCTCTCTCTCTCTCTCTCTCTCTCAGTATATTTCCATAGCCAACCATGAATACAGCATTTAGTCTCTCGAGACTGAGCCCCACATTCTGTCACCTCCATCACTTATGGACTGAGGTTGTTGTCCAAAAAATATTTTTTTATTTTATTTTTATTTATTTTATTTATATCCCGCCTATCTGGTCGGGTCAGGACCACTCTAGGCAGCTAACAACCATAAAAAGTACAATAAAAATATATAAGCAATTTAGATAATAAAAGCCATACACAGAGAAAGAGAAACTGTAGAAGAGGAAAGAAAAGGCGTCAGGAATTGTTAAGGCGTCACGAATATGGAAGTCTTGTCCTTATACCACACGTTAATGTTGAAAAACATGATGTGTTTCCATGAAGATGGAGGGAGCCGGTGGAAGCGCTTAGTTTTTCAAGGAACACACAGTCTCCGTGTGTTACACTCTAGACAGGGTACCTGTCAGGAAGCTACCGGATGACTAATGCCTTGCGGCTCCCACATAGCTTAACCCCTTCTAGCCCCTTCCTCTGTCTCTATGGACAGTTATCCTATCTGAGATGGAGCCTTCATTCCTCAGCTGGTGTGTAGGCATCCTTCAGTCTCAAGAGACTATGGTAATGTGCTCTGAATAGAGATCTTGACACAGTGTCTAGTGTGGCTGAGAAGGCCAATTTGAGAGTGACAATCCCTTCCATGCTGAAGACAAATTAGATCCGTCCCCTGTCCAGCTCCCTGATTTTGCTGGTTTCGGGACTGCCTCTTTGCCTCAGCCTGGTGTCCAAGGGTCTCTTCAAACTGGGAGAGGCCATGCTGCACCGCATGCCTCCAGGCTGAACACTCAGTTGTTAAGGATTCCCATCTGTTGAGGTCCATTTCTAAGGCCTTCAGATCCTGCTTGCAGATCTCCTTGTATCACAGCTGTGGTCTGTCTCTGGGGCGCTTTCCCTGCCCTAATTCTCCATAAAGGAAATTTTTGGAATCCGACTATCAGCCTTTCTTACGACATGCCCGAGCCAAAGTAGATGTTGCTTTTTCAGTAATGTATACATAATTATACATTATGTATTCCTCAGCTATCAGTTGTTCAAAACATCAGAGAGTAATGTGGATGTTTTGGCAAAAGCACTAGAGATGGGCACAAGGTGCTTCATTATGCTTTGGCCCAATTAGTCCACATAGCAGCACAGCTGCTCTGTGCCTCCTCATCATGTGAATCTCCAGTCTGGACAGGAGTCCAAACTTCCCAGCCCCACCTCCTCCCACAGCTGACCACTCAGATGAGGAGGTGGGATGGAGATTCTCCCTGCGCGGCTGTCGAGTGCTCAGCTGCCAGAGGAGGCAGAGCAGGGAAATTTCGGCTCCTGCCTAGACTGGAGAATCATGTAATGAGGAGGAACGGAGCAGCATGTGTCAGCTGGTGTGTGGAAGTGTCAGTGAGGGGGAAGGGAATGTGCAGCAGCTTTGCTGTCACACATACAAAGCATGACAAAGCACTTCGTGCCCACCTCTAAAAGAAGACTGAGGTAGGTGACATTGCACAAGAGTTAATGTTTCTGGTGGTTTCTCATCTGCGCCAAGTCACTTCCAAAAGTTACCATATTTTTCCATGTATAAGATGATAAAAAGGTAAAGGTTCCCCTTGACCATTTTTGTCCAGTCGTGTTCGACTCTAGGGGGTGGTGCTCATCCCCGTTTCCAAGCCATAGAGCCAGCGTTTTTGTCCGAAGACAATCTTCCGTGGTCACATGGCCAGTGCAACTTAGACATGGAACGCCGTTACCTTTCCACCGAGATGGTCCCTATTTATCTACTCGCATTTTGCATGCTTTCGAACTGCTAGGTTGGCGGGAGCTGGGATTAGCGATGGGCGCTCACTCCGCCACGTGGTTTTGATCTTACAGCTGAAGATCTACAGACCTTACAGCACAGAGACTTCTGTGGTTTAACCCACAGTGCCATCACGTCCCTTGTATAAGATGCTACTTCTTCCTAAAATCATTACACTAAAACTTGAGGGCTGTTTCTTAGACAAAATTAAGCTGAGATAACTGAGAACAAAGATCTTCCTTAGATCTCCCCAGCGACCACCTGCTTCTGAGAGGCAGGCACTCCTGTGTTCCTTTTTCCTTTTTGGCTGAAAGGCGTTTCCATGTCCGTTCACAGCAGCCATTGGCTCTTCTGCCTTCTGGGTGGGCTTTCCCATGAGTGGGGGAGCAACGCAGGTGGGTTTGGAGGCAGGTGGCCGCTTTCCTGACTGGATGCATGATCTTCCTGAGCCCCTTTGGTTCCTGGGGATAGCAGCCCTCCTGTTGGCTGGAGGTGAGTCTCTCTGAGGAGGGATCAGGAAGCAGGATCTAAACTCAGCCCTGGGTCTGCCTGAGAGGGATGTTGCACCACCTGTCGCTCTCCAATGGGAGAATTCCATTGTGCGAATGAATGCCCCATTGCCTGACGTGTGCCAGGGAAATCCTCCCGGCATGGCTTCCCCTCATATCCTTCCAGTTACAGGAAGCGTCACTGTCTCTGGAGACCTGGCTTCAAATTGTTCCTGGGCCAGTGTGTGTCTGAGGGGTAATGGCAGCAGTAAAATTCCTCTTTAAATACTTCACATACCTGAACCCCCCTGTTCAAATCACTGTAACTCAGCCATGATACCTAATAAAGCTAAAGAAGACATTGACGCCTGTTTTTTATTTGTATTGCACACAAATTCATGCTACTCTTGTGCAATAGAGGGAAAAAATCAGCACCAGGCACTTCTCCAAAGAGATTTCCTGCTGAAAGTTACACTACTGAGCTTAAGACCCCTGAGGAAGTGTTAGTAAAGTCAGGCTAATAAAAATATAGCAGGAGGACGTGCCGGGAAGTGGACGCCCCACCACAAAATCCTACATTACGGAATACCTTTTTCTCTCTTTTAAAGTGACAAAAAGCCTATTGGAATAATTTATTGTATTTAAAATATTTACATGCCGCCCTTCTCCCAAGGGATCCAGAGCGGCTTTACGTATTAAAAGAAACGAAGTTAAAAGCCAAATAGTAAATGATTACAATACTGAAGGAAACAAAGTTAAAAGCCAAATAATAAATAATTGCAGTATTTAAAATGCATTAAACAAGTATCATATTAAGACTTGAAGGGGTCCGGTTAATA